TAGCCACCACTTCCTTCGAATCCTTGCGCGCAACGTGCATGGTTTCACCGTCGAACACCACTTGGAATTTGCCGCTTTGGTTGATCTGCGGCACCGATAGCAAGTTCTTCTTCATCTTCGGCACGTAGAGCGCGTTGTTGATCTCGATCTCGCGCTCATCGCCGTTGGGCAGAATCACGCGCTCGATGATGGTCCCCACACCCTTGATTGCAACGTTAGTGCCATCAGCGACCTTCAGCTCGCCCTTCTCTCGTTCGTTCAGCATGGCAAACTTAATCTTGTCATTGCAGATATGCTGTGTCGCACCGCTGCCCACAGCCCGGACATACTCTTGCCCGTCAAAACTCCACACTCCAACGAAACCGCAAATGCCACGCGATCATAGCCGTGGTCGTAGTCGTCGTTTCGCAACTGGACATTGTTGGCCCCGCGTCACGACTGTTGCAGCCGCGTCGGCCTCCTCGATTCTCATCCTTCCGCTTGGTCCAGCACTTCTCAATCACGTGCCCAATTTTCCGCAGTAAGTACACTGGCGAGACTCCCGCTCGGTACTGAACGCCTTCGCCGCGTCTTCAGTCTTCACCGCAGAGGTCTTCTCGCCTTGTCGCTTGATATGCTCGTTCGTGAGCACCTTCACAACGTCTTGCGTCTTCAGCTCAGCAGTACTCATCTCCAGGTGTAGCACGACGTTCTCGTAGCGTTTGGGGAGACTGCGCAACAAGCAGATCGCAACGTCCTCGTCCCCCATCCTGGCGCCGATGCTACTAAGCTTGGCGCTGATGTTGAGAACTTCATTGCAGTGATGCAACACATTCACGCCTTCAGACATTTCCATGCTGAAGAGCTGTCACTTCAGGTAAATACGACCAGCCTTCTGCAATCCACCGTACAACGTCTTCAGCGCGCCCACGCGGTCCACGCTTCCTCGCAGTTGTCGACCACGTGGCGGTAGTCCGCATCCATGTGGAGCAGCATCAATCCGAACGCGATGTTGCTCGACTTGACATACTCGTCCTTCGCACGAGGGTCCGTGAAGCTTGGAGTCGTCTCTTGGTCAGAAACACACCACACATGCAGCGGTTCACGTCGCGTAGTTGTCACCGTTAAACTTGTCGATGGAGACCTTATTTGAAACGTCTTGCGCAGAGGACATGTTACTTGGGCTCATAACCTGATAGAGGTCACGGGTTTTAGGCAACGTTGGGTTTGTACGGAGCGAAGGGAAGAGTCATCACTCGGGGAGTAGACCGGAGCGAGGACACTTGAGGGGAAGAAGGAAGATTCCGAAGTGATTGATTTATCGGAGCTTACACTGTCCTCACTACGTAGGTCATCCAATCAATTGGTGCATCCAATCACCAACACTCGTCCAATCATCCTACTCGTCTAATCATCAATAGCGTAATCTACGTACCGTAATCATCGCGGGATCGTGTTGTACCGGTTTGGTTACCGGTGTATTGGTACTTACCGCCACAAACCGGTACCCCTCAGTAAAGCGAGGACGGCAGTGAGGACGAGAGTGAGAACAGCAGTGGCGAGGATAATGGAGAGAGCGACGGCATGGATGATGGCGAGAGAGGCGGCCAGTGAGACGCGAAGGAAGACGCCAAGAGCAGTAGCCAACTGCCTGCTGCTAGCTTATCGTCCCCGACTGCTGTCACCTTTCTTAAATGTCTGTGTAGCTCAACGGAATAGTCCCGTACGCGGGTGGTAGAGGTTAGATTCCTCTCACAGGAGAATTGTCTGGTGGCAGCTGGGTGCTGAGAGGTACGGTACGAACAATGTCGATATACTGTATTTTTTTTTCAACGGGTAAGGCGGTCCAGAAGCACGTGGGACACCATCATTAGCGATTTAAGCGATTACAATGTAAATATCAATACAGAAACGGCTCGTTTATGAATTCGAGATAAATTGACTAATTCCCATGCCTAACACGCTAACGCGTCGTTTTGCTCATTAAGAATGGCGAACCTTTCAGCTCTTGCTGATGCAAAGTCCTGCCTTCTCCAGCGTTTGTTAATGATGAAGCGGATGGCTACCGCGTTCTTGAAGCGAAAGTGGAGGAGCACTTTGAAAGCCAGGGTTCGGGTCAGTGGCGATCCGAGCTCCGGATTTAGTTCAAGCCGTCCAGCAACGCCTATCGAAAGGATTTTCAGGTGCTATGTGGTGACGGTAACGCCTTTCAAACGCAGCTAGGCACGGTATGGAAAAAGGCGAGGCTGCGTAGCGGGGGCAAGCATGATTTGTTTAGAGCTGCATATCTAAGTGCTGAAGCCAGTCGAGGTTACGATGACACTTGTCGCGCAACAACTGCACGTATTCAATAGCAACTGCCCCGCGTCGCGGTGTGCTGCGGAAGCAAGGAATAGCAGCGGATCCAGCCACGCAGAACGACATGGCGGCTACCAGGAAATACTGCCAGATGAAGCCGCAGTTGTTGTGCCAAACAGCACGATATTTCGACAGCTCCAACATGTGGATGTACAGCAGGCGGCAATCGACGAAGCAAAGAAAGATGACCAACATCAAGCAAACGCGGAGTGCCATTTTGTGCGCGTGAAGATACGAGGTGCCCCAGTCGCGATGGAAGTAAACATCAGCGATATCCGCTCTGCGCTTGGACTTCCCATCTACTACGTACGCTCACCATTTAAAGAGCCCACTGCGGTTTCCACACCAGCTCCTGCTAGCGATATGGAAGATACTTAGCTGAACAAAAGAGAGGACAAAGGAGAAACAAGGATAGCTAATTTTCCTTTATAGACAATGCATTGTGTTTGTAACCGCAGCTGCTATACAATGTTTTCGCCGACTTCTTCATTTTGCCGAGTACAATAATACATTGCAACTCGAAGCATTGCGGGTGGGGCTTCACGAAGCGGCATATTCCCGTGGCGTTGTATCCACCGTTTGGCAGCGAGAATCCGACCTCAATCGGATTGATCACTGGAGAGTAGGGAGGTAAAAAAAACGTAGAGCCCCTGTTTCGTGAAGCATCTCCTGTAGCCCCTTGTACAAATAAATATTTGCATTATCCATCATTACGATGGATCTTGGCAGCGGCCACGGATTGAGAAACGAAAGGATCTTTATGGAAACATGAGCGCGTGAAGGTGTCCTCCACATCACCTCACTAAAAACACCTCACACGTCCATCGCAGTCAGTATTAATATCCGCTTGTCGCGACTGAAGGGAAGAGTCGCGTGCGCCGGCGTCTTATTAGCAGACCAGCCATAACGATGCAGTACGGATCTAGTGCCAAATAATACAGATTAAAACAACTGAATTGACTACACATTTTTTGAGCAACCAACTTACCTCCCGTCTTTTGACGTTTCGACTACGAAGACGTGTTGGTCTGGTCCCATGTAAGAGGGAGTAAGACGACCAACATACTCCCGCCTTTCGCGAGGGACGCTCTTCCTAGCGCGCTTAGTGAGGACCTTTCATGTCAAATAAAGATCAAAGCGGATGATCCGGGAAATTGTCGCGTCAGAGACTCGTGGTAGCGCAACACAGTTCGTAGCGTAGCTCTTCGAAGTAAAAGCATGGATGTGCTTTTACGTAGTCCTTAACGAAGCCACAGGCTACCTAGATGACCTCGCTCTAGTATCCGCTTTACAAACAGTGCTTGCTGTACGGAAAAGCTTATACCATCGAGCGAGACTGCGGTTACACTGGCAGCTGTAGTTGTGTCAATTGAATAAACGTACATCAATACGATACCTCTCTAATGGATATCTAGTAAGTAGGTCATCTCTTTAACTCTGACGTCGGGGTAAATCTCCGAACGTGTAACGAATGCCAGCCATTCGGACAATTGCTCGTTCACAGGCAGTTTTTCAGTCCGATCAAAGCCCGCTGTCTAATTTTTCATCCTTCTCAGTGATTGGTACAAAATAATTTTTGGTTATCTAAAAGTGAGTGTAATATCTGAAGCCTAACCTCGACGACTAGAAAGGCAGTCCGATTTTACTTTGCTATTAAAGTCGGTGGCTTAAAGTAGAGTGATACATCGATCACCCTAAATGAGGCGACAATTGCCCATGTGTAGGCGTTTTTGAATGCGAACTAGACCAACAAATCGTACGCTGACACATGAAACTTAATCGTGTAGTGCTGATTTTCGCTGAATTACAAGTAGCCATGGACCGATAATAATGCGCTTCCCGGCGGAGCGCCTTAGGATATCCTGCATCGTGTGGGAAGAAGCCAGTATTTATATAGCCTTTCGTTCCTGTATACCTATAGCTATGTAAGAAATCCGGAGCTTTTTTATTTTCTTTCTGTAAATGGTGTTTGTTAAAGGCTTAAAGGTGTTTGTCATGGTTATTCCTTCATCAACCACAGCAGCACTGGTAGATACTTAAGTAGTATTATCCCGTTCATCCACTTACTTCTAAAAAAGAATGGTCTGGCCATTTCAGTGACGCAAAGTGCTCATCGACTACGTAGCAAATGTTGCATACCCTCATAGACTGCTAAGATACACAAAATACCACAAGATAGAACGATAGACCATCTAAACCTACGAAGGGGTCCGTGGACGAGGAGGGGCACTTTTGCGGAGAATAGGTCTGGCTTACAGCGCTGCCGCAGCATCGAGTCGAAGCGTATTGCACTTTATAAAATAGTCTACCTCCCAAGCTCATTAAATAAATGAATGGAGCTCGTGCAGCCAAAAAACGGTACAAAAATGTCCTGCTTTGGAGTAGTGACTACAAGTAGTATTATCGTGGTCGTTAGGACAGCTAAATGACTGTAATGAAACCTGTGTTTGAAGAAAAGAAGTGACTACCGTACCTCACAAAAGAAATGCTTAACAGATAAATTGCCAAAACACAAAATTGAAGCGTTTTGTTTCATTTAAAAAATATTTATTAACACCAAGAAGGCAGTATGAAACGATGATTTTCATAAGGTCTCGAGGGCAATGCTTCTAATAATAGGAATTAGACTGGCATCTGGAACTCATTTCTGGTTTTGCAAGACACTATGAAGCGGTTTCTGCTACAGGATGCATCTAACGCTGGTTGGGTTAAAGCTCAAGAAGCACGTACTCAGATTAACACAGCCAGCGCCCAGATCAGACTTCAAGCATATCCAGAGCTGTCAACAAAATCTCGCTCAAGTATTGACCTCAAAATTGCACAAGAAAAGGTGAATCAGCTGCAAATACGCAGGGTGTGTCAAGACATTGCTCTTTCGACCATCGACATGACATTGGCGCAACTTTTTCCCGTTGACGACAAAGATATCTCTCGCATTCGGTCTAAAGCCCTTCACTATAATACACTGACCTGGAAGGAGCGATCGGTAGTTATCTTTTACTACCTCCACCCTCTGCTTGGGAACAAGGATGCAGAGGTGACGTGCAGGGTATTTGGAGTTCGACATGCAACCTTCACCAATTGGGTAACGAAGCACTCATATTACCCAAAGTGGGTTCCATTTGTTGAGTTTATGACAGTGCGTACCGTTCTCAACTCAATTCCAGTCGAATTTCGAGCAATTTTTGATGAGTCACAGCTCGACGTGGAGTCAGGTGTCTCAATACCAGTTCAATTCAGGACACCAACAACTAAACGCTATGTCACTGCAACCTCTCACCCTCAGCTGTCGCGTCAGAAAGTGGTGAAAATTGCCAAAAAGAGCGAGGGAGTGAAGTATTTAGCAACTTCAGTCAGGACAGTAAGTGTTGGACGCAGTCTGAAGTACCCTACAGAGACAAACTTTCTTCTGGATGAAGTTAAGAAAGGTTGTAAATCCGGTAATCCAATGTCTCGCAACGAGATTTATCTGCGACTCATACAACAGTTTGGAAATGATGGCATTTTGGGACCGCCTAGCGAGTTTTGCAGTGTGATGAAGCTTAACGGCGGAGGAATATCGCCTGCGCTAGCGCAGTGGGTTCGTAGGCGCCTCGAAGGTGCCAACTGGAGCATTCGCAAAGAGAGTGTGTCTCAAAAGGTGCCAACTGATTGGGTTTTAATTGCTCTTGTAGCCTCACAGAAGATTCGCACCAAGCTGGACGGGTGTACAGTTTTAATCAATGCCGACGAGGTGTTTATCAAGCTCTTCCCTAGAGACACAGAGTTTGTGGTACCTACTGGAACGAAACGAGCTGGATCTAATGTGGCTTCAGATGCCAAAAAGGGATGCACAGTGATGGTTTCTGCAGAAATGTACTCCTCGAAGGTCCTTCCTCCCTTTATTGTGATGACCGCGACTCACAAATGGCACCCTTGCTAGACGTTTTGCTACGTGGCGTGATGAAGGAGGTGATGCAAGCGTTCATTTTCAACCTTCACACTGGATGGACACGCCAACCGCAAAAAAGTACGCGGACTTTTTGGTTAGTCTATACCCGGGTCAAAAAATTGGTCTCATTTGGGATGCAGCTTCAGCTCACATTTGTCAGGAAATGATTGACTACTTGAGCGAGAAAGGTATCATGTATGAGTTTATTCCCGCTGGATTAACTTCTATCATGCAAATCTGCGATCTCTACGTCAACCGACCTTTGAAAGCTGCTATTAAGAAAAACTTTATGCGATGAAAGGTGTCACAAACCATCCCACCCGGTGGTAAGTACAAAGTTGATCGAGTCCAAGTGATTCAATGGGTCGAAGAGGCCGTTTCAATGGTAAATGAAAAGCAGAACTCTGACAGGAAGATTGAGTTCATGTTCAAGCGACTCGGCCAGGATCCACGACAGCCCAATAACCAGGCTTTTCAAGAACACATAGGCCTTCTACAAGAAAACGAAGTCTACAACTCACTTCTGCTGAACCAGACAGCAGAAAACCTTGTGTAGTGGAGAGATTGGGCGAGTCTTAACCCCTTCAACCCGGTAGCTGTATAAGCTGCGTTTGAAATCAGCTGTTACGCTGTATATACAGCGTAGTGGTTTTATACCTAAATAAACTATACTTGTTTCTGACAGATTCACAAGGTATACAAAAGCGAAGATTAAAATTTGAGAGCCGGAAAATGTATCTTCCTACAGATGAGTCTAAAGAGAGAGAGAAAGGCCGCTTCTAATTTCTCGATTTTTTTTAGATATTATAAGTGCCAGGTTTGGCACAGTCTTTCGAAGCAGTATACTTTTTGGGAGGTAAATTTCGCGCCCTTTTCGCAAGCTTGAGCGCCAGTCAAAGATTTTCTGCGGTGGACAACAAGCGGTTGAGAACTCGTGATGGTGGGGACCCGCGAAACATCTCGAGGGAGTTGTTCTGGCGGAGCAACTCCGGTACCTGTGCCCGTGCGGGGGCCTGACAGCTTCCGCGTACTCTGGGCTGGCCTTAAGTCGGCTGGGTGGACCGCGAAGCCACCATCAAGCCGAAGCCTAAATCATTTCTGGAAGTACATCAAGCCAGGCGGTGATCCCAGTGGAAAAGAGGGAGTGGACTACTTTCTTGGAGAGCAAGCTCTATTACTGTACTCTCGAGAAGGTTTGCCATACTTTGAGTTGTTTTGGTTAGTCTTTATTGACGTTGCTAGTTGTATTACATTTGTGTATAGTGGTGAAGAGAAATCACGAAGCTCGACTCCAGCAAGAGCGACAAATCGCAGAGGCGGATAAAGGTGTTTCTCCTTCTGCGGCTTCTTCTGCGTCAGCCGCTGTTCCTGTTGCTACAGCTCCTGTCGATGCTGCTGCTGACCAGCAACTTGGAACGCTACCTGAACACCCAGCACCAGGTGATGTGGTCGCTGAGAGTGCGATATCCGCACCTGTGCCAACTACTCCAGGTAATGTTGCCTCGCGCTTTGTACATTTAATATGCTGTATCTAATGATGTATAAGCTCTTTTTGCTGTATCAGCCGTCATGGCTGATACAGCTGTATCAGCCGTCATGGCAAGTGCAGTCAGCGACTCCCGGCCGGCGCAACCTCCCCCAAGGCGTGTAGCTTTGTCAACTACTCCAGGTGATGTTGCATCGCGCTTTGTATATTTGAAATGCTGTATCTAATGATGTATAAGCTCTTTTTGCTGTATCAGCCGTCATGGCAAGTGCAGTTAGCGACTCCCGGCCGGCTCAACCTCCCCCAAGGCGTGAAACTTCGTCAGCACCTTCGACTTCCGTGTCCCGTGCGCCAGGTGAGGAACAATTCAGTCGATTCTGCGCTACGATGCACTGCTAACTCGTTATTCAATGCTGACTGTGTGCTACCGTTAGCCAATGCTAGTAGCAAACCAAGCGGCTGTCGCAGCAATGATAGCGACTTGCAGCAACCGAGACGACACCATAGTCCTCTTCCTGCTCGTGGAGAAGATGAAGAATCGAAAGAAGAGAGTCGTACTGGCGATTTGGGTAGGATTACTTTCTTGAGTTGGATATACATCGTACATCATACATCGTATGCCTAACACGTACATTATGCTGTATTATTTGGTGTATTAGGTACCCACGACGTCGTTGACATGCTAGGTGACGGTGACGACGACTTGAACGCACCTGAAGGCAGTGATGATACCTACTGTGTGCTAGACTCGGGGACCGAATCAGAGGAGATAGACCTGTACGATTTGGATGTCAGTGACGCTGACTCGTCAGGATCAGATACGATCGATGAAGAGGACGATGACATGTATGCAAAGGAAGAACGCCATTTTGCAGACAGTTTTCTCAACTCAATCGGTGGCCACGACAGCGTTCTGGCTGGTGATATCATCGGACCTGCACTGAAAGATCTCGGTACTACTGGATGGCATGATCCCGAGACGCCCAATGTCACGCAATATCTGCAAACACCGTACACTCCTGTTCCATCTAGCGACGAGTATCCAGATCTGATGGGTGAACGCGGTGGACCGACTGAAGAGGCTTCGAAGCGTGGAGCGTCGCCTATCGCACTATTCTTCATGTTCATCCCAGTGGCGCTGTGGCAGCATATAGCAGAGTGCAGCAATCTTTACATGCATGAGCAGCTAGATGCCCGTGTGGATGCCTATTTTGAGAGAAAGGAACAGCAAGCACAGAAGGCGCGACGAGCTGGACGCGCAGTACAACAAGAAAAGAACAAGACAAGACGAGATGTACGCCAAGAGTTCCATTCGGTGAAGCCGATAATGCCGCACGAGCTGTGCGTCTACATCGGCCTGTTGATAGCTCGAACAATCATGCCAAATCGCGAAAAACTAGCGAACCACTGGAGGCTGTCAGAGCAAGGGGCACTTCCAAGAGGCACATTTGGGAAATTTCTCTCACGAGATCGATTCATGCAACTCACTCAAAATCTCCACTTCACGAGCAACCAAGACCCACGTGCAAAAACCGATCGCGTATGGAAAATTCGCTCTGTAGTGAACGTGTTGCAGCAGACGTTTGTGCAGTACTTCAATCCTCCAGCAGAGCTTTCGTTTGATGAAGCCATGCTACCGAATAGAAGCTCGTTCAATCGGACAAGAGTGTACATGAAAGATAAACCCCACAAATGGGGTACAAAGCTTTTCATGCTATGTTGTGCTGTGTCCGCTTATTGTATTCGGTAAGAATGCTGTCTTCGTTCTGCTGTATGCGTTTACTTATGATCTGTATGCTGTGTGACAATGTACAGCTTCGAGGTGTACTGCGGCAAGAAGCAGCACATTGCTGAGTCAGGTGCTGTGGACATGAAGTCCGGCCCTGCTGCCGTTGTTCGTAACCTGAAAGCTGTGTTTGGAGATAAGCCTCCAGAGAAAGCGATGCGACTTGTCGTTGTCGATCGGTTCTACACGTCTATTGTGCTAGCCGTACAGCTACTGCTCATGGGGTTTTACACAATTGGTACAATCATGACAAACAGAAGAGGCTTCTGCAAGGCGGTGGTGTCTAGCAAGAAGACTAGGCCGAAGGGTATCCCGAGAGGAGCGCTCACGTTTGCTCGGTCTAAGCATGTAAAAAAGATGACTTCGATATGCTGGTGGGACAGCAAACCTGTGCATTTCCTATCGGTTGGTGGAAACCTGGAGCTAGACCGTGTGGTTAGAAGGGAGAAGACCGGAGAACAGAATGAAGTGGCGTGCCCCAAGGTCATCAAGGACTACCATAAGTTTATGGGCGGAGTTGATGTGCACGATCAACTCCGCCTGCAACGGTACTCCGTTCAGCGCTCGATCACATTCCGGAAATACTATAAGTCACTGTTCCTGGGGCTGGTTGATCTCGCGATTACAAACGGGTACATCGTGCACAAAGCATATTGCAAGCAGAGGCAGATTCGAGCGATGACACACGCGCAATACATGTGCAAGCTGCACAAGCAACTGATCACACTTTCCGTGGAGGATATGTACGAAGAGAACACTTTCAGCACAGGTAAGCACTATTTGGTTGACATGCTGTATATAATGTTTACATTAACGTGTATATACAGATGGCTACACCCAGTCGAGGAGCGCGAGTCCGTCGATGCCAGCGGACACGTGCCGAAACTAAATGAAGAGTGGCGAGACCATTCCGGACAGAGGAAGCGAGTGCAGAAGAACTGCAAGGTATGCACAATTTTGACCGAAGATGGCAAGAGGGGGGCCACCACAACGTACTATTGCGATGGGTGTGACTTTCCGGGGCCAATATACTTGTGCACGAAGCCGAAGTGGCCAATGAAGGGTACAATCAAGAGCTGTTGGGACGTGTGGCACAATGAATACAAGAACGGCGCTGAAATTCCAGCGCACAAGAAGGGTAAGATCCGAGTGCGCGCGGCAAAGACTACAGGATCTCCTGGCAAGTCTCCTGCCAAGCGCCGCCGTGCCGCTGCTGCCTCCCCAGGATAAATTCTGTGTGATCAATGAAGTAGCTTCACTATTTGCGTCTCTCTTGATGTTGCGACTGCCATCCCGTCTTTATCCACGTTTTGGAGGTGTGTGGATGCACTTGTTTGATGACAAGGAGTATGTTAGAAAGTTTGTATGCACGGCAGTCTCGACATCAGTTGATTGCAGGAAAATGGCACTGCATTTCAGTATGCCAGTGCAGACGCCCTGTTTGTGACACGTTTTTCACATTATTAGAGATTTTTTCTGCTACCCAAGTGGCACACACCACACTACAAGCTGTATATATACAGCGCAATCCCCCCATGATATACAGCTTAATCAGTGCTCGAGATGACTTGATCATTTTTTACCCGCCTATCTTCTAATCCTTTCCCGCGTTTGTATACAATTTCCTATATGTTAATGCGATGTATATACAGCGTTAGGGTGTGGAAAATCAGCCGGGTTGAAGGGGTTAATTTTGAAATTTCTAAGCTAAATATTAACACGAAGATTGCATATTTGCTTCGCCAGCCCGCTTTTAAACGGTAAGATGAGTGCCATTTCCCGATGACCAAAAGCATTTCTTTTGTGAGGTACGGTTTTAGAATTTTTTAATCCTGAAGCTTCCTCAATGGAGAACTTCTAGTAATCATCACTGTCATCTCGGACGTGCAAAAAATGTAGTTGTGCTGATATTTAACAGAACTCTGACGACACCAATAATTGTGGCAGCTCAATTAAAGTCCAACCTGACAACTATTTAAAGATGTTTTAAACACAAAATACATTTGGGAGCATCATATAGGTCTATTTCTACTTTTGGGTACCTCGAGTCGAGCTTTGTAAAAAGGATATCTGATACCTTGGCCGATTGCAAAAAGTACGTATTTTGAAAACAAACGTTATAAAATGCGATTTTCCCAAAGCTTACATCTTCTGTCATCAATCTTGGACCATGGAGTGTACCCAATAATGCGCGGCCTCACTGTCAGACCCACCCTCCCTCAACCAAGTGCATTATGTCGGGCGTCTGCTCGCTCGTCGCGACCTTCGTCGTCCCAGGCGTGGGCGGTATCATCGTCAACGCTCTAGGCAACATCATCGAGCTTTGCCAGGAGCTGGAGGAGAACGAGAAGATGTGCACAGCTGTCTACAAGCGCCTGCAGTTCGTCAGCGAGGAGCTCAGCAAGATCTCGGACGAGGAAGCCATGCGCCAGAACCGCGTGCTCTTCATACGATCGCGAAATTCCTCAAGTTTCTGCAGAAACAGTCGAAAAAGAGTTTTATCAAGCGCCTCGCCAGTAATCGCAAAGTGGTGGCTGCCATCCAAGACTTTAACGAAGACATCGACGAGCTGTACAAGCTTTTAAACCTCGTGCACATGCAGGAAATGGCCAAATGGAAGCGAGAATGGGACGAGGGTCGACGCAGACAGGAGCAAATGCTGCTGAGCATCGCCGGCGAATCCACGCGGATATGCAGAACAAAGAGAACAATCTGGTGGAAAGTCTGGCCATGCTGAAATACGAAATGACCCACAAGAAAGCGCAAAACTCCATGGCTACACTGGCGATGATGAAGAGGACATTCAACAAGATCACCCGGACTTCGGGGGCTAAAGTCCCTGCTGTGCCCGACTGGTTCATCTCGAGTGACGACGTGGGGTTCGACGCCAACGACCAGTTCGATTGCGGGTCGTACGGCTCCGTGACCAGAGGAACGTGGGGAAAAGGAGCCAAAGTGGTGATTAAGTCCCTTCTGATGGACGACGAACAGGCCAAGGAGTCGTTCTTCAAGGAGGTGCAAGTCTGGAGGAATCTCAACAATCCTCACGTGGTCGAGCTGTTTGGCGCGTGCCATGTGAGTACGCCTGCGTTCTTCGTGTGTGAAGACGCGATCCACGGCAACTTTGCGGACCATTTCATGCAAGATAAGAGCACTATTTGGAGACTGTTCCATCAAGCAGCAGTGGGTTTGGACTACATTCACTCGCAGAAAGTGGTGCACGAAGACCTAAAGTGCAACAACATTCTGATCGGTGCTGACGACAACGCCAAGATCTGCGACTTTGGCTTCAGCTACATCCGCAGTCAATCGGTGGGGCTGAGCAAGAAGGCGCAGACGGATACAGTGCGCTGGAAGGCCCCCAATGTCTGATGCCCAGGGATGAAGAGGCAGATGCCCTAAACAACCCGCGGTTTGCGTCGGACGTTTACTCGTTCGGAATGTGCATCATCGAGGCGTTTTCGGACGAACCTCCGTACGCACTGGTGTTCTTCGGGCGCCGTGTCATTTGCACAATGGGGGCGGGTGTCATTTTGGCGCGGAACTCCGCTCTGAAAAAGATAACCATTTCAAATTACATTACAGCCTACCCAAAACAATACCCCCTCTATGCCGATCACTTTTTGGATTTCGAATCTCCCGCGCTTTCCCGGGCTCCCGCTCCCAGCTTTCATTTTTTGAAAATGAACGGTGGGGGCCGCCAAGTTGTCGAGCGAATTTGGAGGCGTGGAATCAATTCGATGGGAGATCGAGTAGCAGCCGTGGTCAAGTCAAGGAAGAGCGCATGTGGTAGGAAGAAGGTGGTTCGAGCTGAGCTGTGCGAGAGAATCGCTGCAGTTCCTGTCAATGAGCGCGAAAACCAGCGTCTGCTTAAGCGCGCGTCCAACATGAGCTGCTACCTGGTTCAGCAGCTGATCAAGGAAGGCTACATACGGCGTGCGCTCAGACAGACCCGCCCACTACTTACACCCACGCACAAGTTGGCGCGCTCCGGCACAAGGACAAGCAAGTACGAGCTGGCACTCTCCCCTACGTCACTGCCTTGTGACGCTACCTCACTCGCCAATGCTAACGCGTACATGCTGCTTCTTGCAGCGAGCAGTCCCCCACCGCCTACCGCTGAAGTTCCAGAAGCCCCACTGGGCGCCCCTTCAGAATGTGGCGATGTAGTTGCCGTCTTAGATCCGTTTTTGTATCTGTAGTTGTACGGCGGAGCAAGAACGCCTGTGCCTTGCTTAGTTTCTCACTGTCTGCTCTCGGTCGTAAAGCTAGCTAGCCAGCCTCTCACAAATTAATAAACGCTCAAATGAACGAGGCGGAGCGCTGCGCAAAAAAAAAACAAATGGTTATCTTTTTCCGAACGGAGGTAGTACCTAATGTAGCTTTAAAAAAAACTATGCTCAGAGCGTTTACATTTAAGCCTTGTGGTGATTTCATTACCAAGGACTGGGTTCTGAATTGTAGATGATTCTACTCAATAGTCGAATACACGAACAGTAGACAAGGTTTCCATTGCAAAAAAAAAACACGGCTCTTACGGTACTTGGTTTTAAGACTCTGGACAGCTGAGCTTGGCAGTGTCTATGGAAGCATTCTAGGCGCGAAGACGACGGGTTTCCTTAGCTTGTTGCTTCTTCAGCCATTTACGGTACAGCTTGCGAAGGTCCTCTCTGAGGTATGGCGTGTCGTTCGGATACATCAATCCAATGGCGGTGTACGGCCCGTTATTAACTTGGCTCCTGTCAAATTTTCTTGTGCTGCCTCCGCGTCCTCCCCCACCACGGCCTCCGCGTCCACCACCTTTTCTTTCTTCCATAGCTGCTCCCGTATTATCAGACAGCTCGCGGGGTTTCTTGTAGTTCGATGCTGTTGAGGTCGTTGTGATCTCACCATTGACATTGTCAATGACAGCGGTGCCACTGCCATCACAAAGAGTGGCCAGTGTTGCCGCAATGATTAATGCGGGATAAAGTAGTCGCATGAAGCGCATTAGCAAGAGCCGCCTGTACTCGACGTTCGCTGTCTTGGAAAATGCCGGAATGCAGAGTCTCTGCCAGACTGGAATTGCCAGTTGGTTACTTAATAAGAAAAAAGGAGTGGAGAGCCGGAGGCACACGGAAAGATTAGAGGCAAATCTGTTCAGTACCGGTATGTTGAGCTTTGGAGTCATCACCATCACTTAGATCTGTAGTACAGATTCAACTTTCCTAAATGACCCCTCTCCATCTACGATCTCATCTACGATATCAAATATGATAGGTACCGGGTAGCAGCAGCATTCAGCCGATTGTATCGAGCTGTACAGTACACGCTCACAATGGTGTACTTTAGCTCTTAAACCTTTGCTAACGCCGATTAAAATATTCTGGATAGTACCCGGCCACGGCTACCGTGTACCCATATGCTCTTTAATCCATTTCTGCTGTAAACGACTGTAGCTACCGTATTTGAGATCTCCTACTTCAGACCCAATATTTTTGAAGTTGTATTGTTGCAAAATACACAAGATCTGTACACGTACCGACGCATCTCTATCACGTATTATTTAAACAAAACAATTTAGTTATCAAGTTCTTCTTCGGGAACTACGAAGTTTTCTATGTCGTGACGCGTATCCACAGCATGGCGCACTACGGGCACTTCTTCCAGCAACCGTCGTAGCAGCTCCCAATCAGGTTCACTGTCGGAAAGCTCCGTTCCAGCCTCTAAGTTTTCAGTAGGCTCAATGGATAGCATTTTTGCTTTCTCAAATCCGCTTTTAACCGTTTTGCGAGACAACGCATTCCACGAATTCTTCGTCCAACCTATTAATTGCTGCCGTGTAGGTGCTTTTATCTTAAACGGAAGCGTCGAAGTTGAAGCGCGTAGTTGTTTCAACCACCCAATCTGTTTTGAATATAGCGCTGCCATTGGCCATAGAGCTGGTGGTATTTGTAAAAAGCATGATTTCGCCTCCACTGCATGTATTGAATAGTAAGTACATGTAATGCCTCCTGGAGAGAAGCAGGAGGCGGTATGAATTAAAAGCTCTCACGCTTAAACTATGTACTTACAAACATCTCCTTTCCACATGCATGTTTTCTTCTTGAGCCCCTTGGAGAAACTCGGAGTGCAAATTTACCTCCCATATCTGCTACTCCTGGTATATCTGATGGTGAGAGTGCATACAGACTGACACAAAAAACGTCAATTTAACTAAATAAATGTCACCCCCATCTCTAAACCTAACCATTATCAGAGCAGACAAATATCTATTATAGTGATCGATTTCCTCGAAGTAATAGTGTTGCTGATCCGCGTTGCAATACAGGTACCGGTACAGTACTGGACTTTCCCGCCACCTAAACTTGCAGCCTGTCCGTCCGTCCGTCTGTCAATCAGTCCGTCGCTTTCCTCTCTTCCTGCTTTTGCCTGCCTTTTCGCATGGCTACACCCGGCCTGTCTAATACAGTTTCTTCCCATCGTACCGACCGCGCCTACCTTTCTGACTCGACCTAACTATTCCAAAACTACAAATATATCCAAAAGCGTGACACAATTAACTCGCGCCCTGATTGGGCAATACCTGCCGACCTGCGACACTGTCGCACAATCAGACCGTCTATCGCCGTCGCGATTGGACGTAAGGTAAACATTTCTGCCGAGCGCGAAACGCATCGATTGGTTGCAAACAGCCTGGCGAGCTGCGTTGACAATTCTAAATTTACATTTAGCTACGCAAAACCTGTATGTGCATCAAATTGGGCACGCTTACCACCGCGTTTTGTAGGGGCTTTGCAAATATTATTTTTAACTTCTCCTGGCACTCTCCACTGTCAGCGTGCAAGAAGGCGCGCGGCCGCACGGTCATTGCGCTATCTGCTCCCGTGCACCGTACCCGACGAATGCATGCGCGCACGATACATAGTCTTTTAGTCACTTTTATTGCATGTAAAGTATGTATTTGTTTGGAAATCTGATAATAATATATTAAAGATAAGCCAAATATTAATAATATGAAACATTTTACTATTTAGCTTAATAATAAATATCAGCCTTTTATTACCGTGCTATTGGCTAATATTTGGACGAACGTAATTGGTTAAAACAATATATTTTGCTAACATACTCACAGTTTGCAAAATGGTGGGCCCTACGTGCAAGCAATGCGAGGCGAAGATTGACCCGCTTCTGCTGAACCTGCAGCGGTCTACGACGGACCCCCGAGCGCGCTGCGTCTGCTGCGGGAAGCTGCAGTACGGCTACGCATTCCGTACAATCAGCGGGCGGGACATCGTGCGGCGCTGTATTGTCTGCGAGAACGACCCAACAGCGGTTGAGTTCTGGGAGGAAAAGCCCCCACCACCTGATTCGGCCGAAATGCGCCGCCAGGAAAGCCTGGCAAACGTCAATAAGGTGATGGGCCCTGACTGGTACCCCAAGAGTAAAAAAAGACACAGCCACCCTCGCAAGCTGACCGCCCGAAACGCCAAGTACATCGAGCGAAAGAAGCAGCAGAAGAGCAGGTGATTTGGAAATACATCCTTATAGCCCTTACCCCGCATAGTTTTGTATACTGGCTGACGGTGCAAGGCTTGGGGTCGCACATACTGTAAGCTGACTGTGGCGCTACCAAGCGTGTTGACGCACCTATAGAGCGTAGCGCGTTTCATATAATAATTAGCACGAGGTATGTACTGTGTACCTATGCAAGTTGGCCGTCTCTATCTGCATACGCGTCACCGTAGATGGTACGTACACTCGCTCACGTGGGCATACGCAAAACCATGTTATCTGTACCATCAGCCCTTATAGCGTGTATTGCACTAATTGGCGCTCACAATTTAAACCACAGTATTGAGTGGGAACTACGTGCGACGAATAAGCTGCTGTTTACATAGATACTAGCACTGCGTGACAGTGCACATCGTACAGATAGACGTGGCAAGTCGATGTGTCTGAACGCAATATTGTACTTTAGTGTCCTGTCCATAATGACCGAGATAAGAGCTCGGTTGAGTTGCGGATGACTATAAGGTGTGCCCGCCTCGCGCGTATATATCGCGTTAGCTACTGCTAGCAGACGCGCGTTCAGCATACCTGTATCGCTGCAGTATGGCCTGTGTCCAGTTAGTGACCTGCTTGGTCATATAGACTGACACATCAGAAGCGTAAGCACCGTAAGCCAGCACGACGACGCAAATGCACCGAGAAAGCGACAGTGGCCCTATGCATATGCTCTGGCTATCACGAGCACGTGGTATATACACCTTGCGGGATAAGGACCGGACACATAAAAAGCACGCCGAGTTGATAAGTAGGCAGCGAATGTACTTCATTTAATGTACATGAGCTACTATTCGATTCAAGCCTAAGATGTATACGATCAGATAATCATCCTACAGTCATCTGACTTCCTATGTTCGGCATACATATCGGAACCAGTAAATGCCACTCGGAAAGGATCTACGCCACTCTGTCAGTCAGTAGCTACGGAAATAAGCCAGTAAGAACGTCAGCTATGCACGTAAGATCAATGTATGCGGAAGATAGTGGATTGCCCTTCAGTAATATCATAAAGAGTTCAGCGGAACAATTTCAAGGCATAATATTGGTGTTTGTGGCGACCATCGGCAAATACTACCTGAAAAAAGATACCTCGCGCGAGGAGCCGACCAAACCGTGCTCTAATAGACCGTCGCAATCAAAGATACGGTGTCGACTGCCTACGTGCAGATGGTAAGATGTTTGAGTAGGATATTTACTCCAGGTAACCTGGGATTCCTCACCGATGTATGCCAATTTCGAAGCATCATTGATACTGACCCGTCTTCTGAACAGCATATATTAGCTTTGCAGCCACGCGCGCCTCCGATTCGTGTCATTTTGGAAGCAATGCGCTCAAACGAGATTATAGACAGAACCTTTCCGGGTAAGATGGTGCTCTTCTTGCAGATCCCGTTAAACCCTGGTCGTGTCTACCATAATATGTGAGCACTAAGGATACTGTGTGCGGTGTTGTTTTGGAACGTACAGTAATATACGTAGATCACAGTATACATGTACTATATGTTGCTTCGCTTTGAGTAGAAATTTTAAGCCCACCGCAGCGCAGCGGAGGTAGTCGGCCCTCTCTACACCAACCAACCATGCCCTAGCGTCCGCGGAGCGGACGCCCAGACGGCTAGTAAGCTTACTAACCTTACAGTAATGAAGACGGATTGCTGTGCGCACGCACGCTCCACCACAAATCTAACGAAAGCCGTAATCTTTGTAATGAAGGTCTAACCTGAAACCTGACCTTTACTATTGCGTTCATTTGGTGTGCAGAATTTCCAGAATAACTGTAAACGTCTCTGTCTAAACTAACGAAGCGGGGTGCGTTTCTCATCAACAGCGAGTTTAATGACTTGCAGAGCCGTGACATCCGTTGTGAAATGGCTATACCTGTGCGAAGTTCGTACTGCGAACACATACTCGATTCTGGTTTGATTCACGATTTACAAGAATAAAGTGTGTATTACATGTAATACATGTCCTTTGAAGTAACACGTATCTTAGCAATGTTTTAATATGGCTAAAATACCTGTTATTACTGTAATACTGTACATGTACCGTAGCGTAGTGTTGCAATTGTCAGTGCCCAGGGACCTGGTTCCTGAAGGTTCCAGGAACCAGTCCCTTACTTCTTGCAAATCTAACATGCGGTGTAGAACTTGGAACCAGTAGCTTACTTCTTGCAAATCTAACATGCGGTGTAGAACCTCTACACTCGCTGTCAAAGAGTCGTTGTACGAGAAAGAGTCGTTCTACATGTACAGTATTATAAAAGAACAGGTGTGACTGTGACGTTGCCAGAAAACTGTCTCTATTAATAATGGTGTTCGCCCATTTCACTCAAAATCAGGAGTTCAGAACAGCCAACAATGTAAAGTAGGACGAGCTGATTAAGAGTCCATAACAATCTGTGGCTGTGCAGCTTTGATACTAAATTTTAAACGCTACAGTTCCACGTAATCTAGTTAGCTTTAATACGCTTTCTCCAGCTCCATGGGTGCAAATTCTAAAGAAAAATTAAATCCGCAGTAAAGGTAGTGGAGAAAGCAAATATATAAAGCTCATGCTTGTTGTTTCAATTTACATGAAGCGGTCGCATTTAAATTAGCTAAGGATTGAGTACACAACTGACCTTGAGAGCAAGGCATATTCTATTATGATGGGGGTCATGGCTCGTCAACAGACAACATGATTCTTTATCCCATCCCACTATTCGTCGTCGTGACGCAATAAGTTAGTATTGATTACAGCATCGGATTACCGTATTCCTTATGTGATTGGCGACGCTCGGTCATTAGCGACAAATCCAGCAGCCAATCAAATTGATTTAAATTTCGTGTCGTCGCGCTTTATGTACCTTTATAATTTTGAGCATGTTATATAGTTTTTTCGATGCAGGTATCTTTTATGCTGGCAGAAAGGCTGGACCACCTTAAGAATACGTCGCATTTCGATACAGTACTATATGATAGCAGCGGCAACATTGCTCACGAGGAGAAGCCTACCGAGAGCCCAAGAGCGACAGCGAGATCCGAGGTGGGTGGGCCGATGGAAATACAAGCAGTCGTAGAAACCAGATCATCGAGGGCTAGGTTAAAACGGGCCCAATAAAGCAACCAGACAGAACAACTTCCGCGGCAATATCTACTGAAGGGGATACGTAAAAGTCGTGCTTCCAATGCACTTTGTCCTTATAGACGCTAGACTAGCTGTACACCAGATTTCAGTTTATTTGGTTCAGTAGCGGATCTTTTTTAAAGGGCAGTGCCCACTCGCACCTCTCCTCGAGCTGGAGATAGCGAGTTAAAATCACTGAATCAGCCACAGTAGAAAACTTGCAGAAAAAACGGTGGATGAATGTGCTCCATAAACCACGGCCACGGCCTCAGTGTGACGGGCTCAGTACAACACCGTAAAACTCATACATTTGGGAAAAGAAAAAGTACGTTAAAAAACACGCCCCACCTGTTAGTGGGTATCCACCCACATTAAAAGAACTAGGCACTCTTTGCGGAAGGTGTTCCTATCATTTACGTAAATGTAAACGGACATGAATTGTACTTATGCAGAACTGTACTGGTTTTGAATCCACTTCAAGCAGATGCTTATCGTAATTTTCTCTTGGCAAGGAGAAATCTAAAGTAAATGACAGTCTGGAAATATATGACATGAGCTTCTCTAAATGTGTCAACTTTTCGACCTAGTCATTTTCAGGATTCGAATCCAGGTTGTACAGTCGTGCACCTCCAATTCGACAGGGCGGACCATATCAACAGCGCCAGGGCATAAGTGCACAACGTAAAGCAAAAAACAAACCCAGTGCACTGATATTTTATTTGTTAATTCAGTACAAAATTTAAGCCAATCTTCTGCATAATCTTGGCGTCAGACGCGCGAATCGCGGCGCCGGTCGCGACAGGCGTCCGGCAAGGCGGCAACTTCCGCGGACCGCTTAAGAATACTCTGGACGGAAGTGCGCTTTACTGCCCGGGGGGTCTTAAAGCGCTCCGTTGCCCAACGAGCAAGTTCGGAGTGAGAGCATGCAGGATCTGACTTGTGCTTCTCGCACAAAGACTGCTTTTGTGGGACATGTAGTAGGAAGGGCGATGTCCCATTGTCTTTGGCGGTAAAAATCAAAGTGTTTGTTTGTATGAAGACGTCCGATCCAAAATTTAAAATCAGATCGATGCGTCGTGTCATCCCTCGGCGAGGAGGGGAAAACCGTTGAGGTTAATTGCTAGGGTGGTGATGGGCAAAGGTAATTGCGCATCCGATTCGCGTAATCATAAAATCTGGCAAGGTATCGACTGATACCGGTGTCGAATTGGAGGTGCACGACTGTATCCGGTGCATATCCGGTGCGAAACCAAAACTACACATATTGACAATATTGTCTTCAAATGCAAAGATATCTTTGAGATTTCTAAAGCTATCAGTAATCTCCAGTAGCTACTCATCCTGTCCGTTTCCCTCATCCACATCGCAGTGCTGAACGCCAATTGCCTTATGCAGGTACCTCATTCGCAGGTACGAAAAAAAATCGTAGAGACTGTTGGTCCGTGGTCTTCCAGCAAGTAGTAGCTCCAAAACAACAAGGCACCAGATACCGCATGAGTTGCCGCCTTGCTGTGTGCACCAGGTAATCCCCTGGTACGTGATTTGGTCCTTCAGACCTACCGTAGGCTCGATTACTAGCTGTACGCTTGACTTCAGCACTGAGAGATTGGTATTCAGCTGAAGTGGATCGAACAAAAAGCAAGTTTGCTTTGGTTTGTCTACCAAATAATCTACCCAATGCGTATCCAAGCAGATATTCGCAATTAAGCGATCGTTGGAAGGATCCATCGCTCCAAACCCTGCAGCTGTCTTCTTCTTCGTGCTGAGGCCTACCAGGCTGTGGTAACTCGGGTTAACCACGCCGACACTTGGATACATCTGCTTCAGCGCTAACATGGCCGAAATCACCGATGATGTATGTAACCAAAGATTTTCGCGGAAGTCCAAAAGTGAACAGCCCAGACACCACTCAGGACCTTGCCCAGCGTCACACGTCTTACTGCGTTTCTGTACTCCAGCTACGGTGACAAAAGCTATTAGAAGTGGTATCACTAGGTACGATCCGGTACGTTCCGGCATTCTTAAGATTCACTTACCTTTGTAATATCACAAGAGTCAATAAACGGCGAAGCCACGTCCTTGATTTGCCACTCAACACCTTCGATCCAATCCAGTGTGACTTGCACAAGCTGGAATCGATTGCGTGCCTCTTGAACATTCGCCAGAGCTTCTAGCTGACCAAACTTCGCGCAGCCATAGTTACTCCAGTGCGCAAGCAGATTCAAATTGTCAGTCGCCTTGATCGACTGAATCGCCTCGTGAATCCTGTCCAGCTAAGGGATCGCACAAATCTGGGGTACTTGTTGACCGACATTGTACGGTCTCACTGAAAGACTACCTCGCACTTCAACATCTACGAGATCTAGCGCGTCAACGACTGCCTTTGCAAGGTCTAGACTGTAAGCATGTTCCTGTAAAACAGCGGTTTCATCCAGTCTGGTCTTGCACTTCTTCCTACTGTATTTAAGCTTCATCGCCAGTTTTCGCGCCGCCGTAAGCTCTTTTCTACCTGCTAAATAACGCTTCTCGCGTTTCGAGAGTCCTCTGACGCGTGGAGGTGTTGCAAATAAATTCGGAGCTTCCGCAGACCCATCCATGGGTGCGTGGTTCATTTTGTGTATTTTCCGGTGCGCATACGGACGGTATCACAAGAAGACGAATCGGGTGCAGTTGGTTCCGCTAAAATCAATGTTGTTTAAGCTGAAGGGTCGCTAGCGACTGCTCCAACGAAACCCGCACTCTTTTCCTCCAGTTGATCCACATTTTCTGTCGCTTCAAGCGTGGTGGTAGTATTAGTAGACGGTTGTAAAAAGTGAAATTTGAGTCAGTTTTCGAGGTCGACGTGGTAATTTCGGATGCATCAGCTCTCATGACAAACTTGGTTATTTCTTCTTTCTGTAGAGAGTCATAAAATGATTTCATCCACTCAAGTGCTACGCGAAACGTTGGTGAAGACTGCAACGCATTCGGTCGACAATCTTTTCTGCAAGCGCTTTGGTCTGTATGAGCTTGTTCGTAGCCATAACGGGGGTTTCTCTGTGCACTTGGAGCACAACTAATCTTTGTGAGGCCTCCTACTCCAACATCGCCGTCGTCAATATTGTTCTGGGGTGCGTGCACGATCCACCGGTTCGAAAAGGTTCGAAGTGGTGGAACAATGGTCTCGTACTTGTTCTTAAATCGAAAATGCATTATATGTCTGCAGGGCAAAAGATAAGTTTGCATGAAGATACAGCCACACGTGAGACGAAGGTGTTCTGCTGGGAGGAGGAGGACGACCTAAAATGTGCGAGGACGGTGCGCATGACGACGCGAAGGCAGACCTTTGTCAATGATGAAATGGTCACGGAAGTGATGATCGAGACGGTCGAGACTACGGAGCACGTTATGTCGATGGTGATAAAAGCGAGCTTCGAGGAGGAGAAGGATCCTGAGGTCACCGCTGCGATGAGTAGCCTGTACTCTGACTTCGCATGCGAGAACCGCGACGACGAGTCAATGACGTTCAGTGCCGATATCGACGCGGATGTACACGAGATTCACGGCTTGCGCACTGGTGTGGCTTCGGATGAAGCTTCCGTGGCAGCGCTTCTGCTGTCAAAGACCGTGGAACAGCGCTACCTGATCTGGTGGCGCTATCGCGTCCTGTTCAAGCAAAGCCTGACAGTGTGGGTGAAGAGCAAAAGCAATTACGGCATTCTATTGGAGATGCTCGCGAGCCCTCTAGTGCGTCGAGGCTGAAACTCTACACCATGCGACAGGAGGTCTGGGTACGAAGAAGCAGTGGATCTACTCAGTTGTGATGGCTCGCTCGAACACGGACATTGCGCTGATGAAGAAATCATTTCAGGAAAAATACGGTGAAGACCTGGTTGGAGTCTTGTCTAGCAATCTAAGTGGCAACCTGAAGAAGGTGATCCAAACTGCAATGCGGGGCGAGGTCGTTGACTTCAACATGTCAGTCCACACGAGAGAGAAGGCTACTACAGACGCGGACAATCTGTACAAGACTGGCGAAGGAAGGGGGGCGGACAGGAAGAAGTTGATCGACATTTTGGTGCTGAGTCCTGCGGAGCATGTGCGCTACATCAACAGAGTGTACAAGGCAAAGTACAAGGCGGATCTCATTCATGTGATCAATGCCAAGTTTGGTGGTGATGCTAAGAGTGCGCTGCTGCTCCGGGTGCGCTCGATACTGGATCCGATGGATCTGCTGGTAGAGTTGTTCGAGACGACGCTGAGGAGCGTTGGCAAAAACAACAAACTATGTTGCCAGCCTTCAGGCCGTTTACGTTACAACCTGAGTGTGTTGGTTGTGCGGTACTTTCACCTCCTTGAGCGTATTGGCAACACGTACAGGAAGTTGTACCGCCAGGATATACGCACGCGTATCCGAAGCGTGGCGAAAGGCGAGTATTGCCAACTGCTTCTCTCTGTGCTCGACGCTGCGGCGAAAACGGCCGTGTGTCCTAGCTGCACTGCAGCGTCTGATCCGAAGGAGGATTGGTGTCGTTATTGCGGCGCTTCAATACAAGGCTCTACAGAGAAGAAAGCCGAGCGTAACTCATTTATAAGGTATCTTAAAACCCATTCTGGAGCTGAAGCCTGGCGAAAAACTCACGAAGTCGCGACTGCCCTCCAGGATCTGCACGAGCAAGGAATTGTCCAGGGCAACCTGAAACCGAGAAACCTGACGATTGGACGTGATGGAAAGGGGCATTTGCTAGAACTCCAAATTTGCAAGAGGGTGGAAGAGCAAACTCGCTTTTCTGTTGAGTCTCAAAACGAGGAGCTGCGATGGCAAGCACCCGAGTGCTTGAATGGTGGACAAGCGTCATTGGCGTCCGATATTTACTCCCTCGCGATGTGCATCGTCTACGTCGCCAGTGGGAAACCTCCATGGGGCTCGAATGTATCTGATATTCAGATTCATCAGGAGGTTTCAAGCCAGCATGCGACGCTTCCTCGACCCCACGGGATGTCAGATAACGAGTGGAATCTTTTGAAGCGCATGTGTGAATACGAACCCAGTAAGAAAATTAGCATTGGCGATGTGGTTCAAGCACTCTCCAGATTATCTTCGGGCCGTGGCATTTGCCAAAACATCTGATTACATTCTCAGCCGAAAGTTTTTTCCGAGTCCAAGTCGGTATCTCGACATGTGGGCCGATGGAAAGATGCTAAAGTTGCTGTTGAAACGATGAAACAAGCAATTGGAAAGCCTAACCGTAGCTTTCGAAGTGCGACTGACTTGTGGTTCTCTCTGAAACATCCATCGATTCTCCTGCATGTGATGACGGCGACGACGAATTTTTTGTTTGCGAATTTGCAGAACAAGGCGATTTCGGTATGTACCTACGCAAAACTGGTGGAATAACTGGGAACGGGTCGTTAAGGATGCGCATCTGGAATATCTTGCTTGATGCTGCTCTCGCTATCCATTATTTGCACAGCATCGGAATTGTTCACGGCGGTGTAAGCCACCAGAATATTCTTGTTGGCAATGATGGCCATGGAAAACTTTCCGGATTTATCTCGAGTTTCGAGGTGAGCAACAGCGGTTGGACTCGCCTGAAGAGGAACCAGCAAGTGGCGATGAATGCAGTATTCCTTCTTGTGTTAATGGACATCATATCGGATTCGAGTCCGACGTGTACTGGCTGGGCCAGTGCATTGTGGATGCTTGGGGGGGGGGCAGTCGGTGGCGGACGACGCTGCAGTGAGATGCGACGTGTGCATTACGAAGCGTCCTCTGCAGCATCGACCAGAGGTTTTTACTGACCCGGAGTGGCAGTTGATATTGGACATGTGTGCGACTGAGCCGGAGTATCGGATCGAAATGCCCGAAGTAGTTGAGCGCCTTGCTCGCCTTATTGCTGTAGATGCGGCCATCGACCAGTTAGCGTCAGACCCGCCGCCGCCAAAGCTTCTTGATTGTAGACAGCGAAATCGTGGACAATCGAATCTACTTACAGCCATGTCCGAAAGCTCGACCAGTGACGACTTTAGCTCCGATTCTGATTGTGATGACGACGATATCTACGTGCTGACCTCAGAGTTAAAAAACGAAGCTCTTGAGGTGAAAGTCAAGGAACTGAATCAAGTGGATTCGCTAAAAAGGTCTGCTGAACATGCTGCAGACGATTGTTATGGCAATAACCTTGAGACATTGCTAAACGCCGAGGAACATATGGCAAGATCGAGGTCGCACGGGCTTCTAATGGCCTCACAACCACGAAAACGCTACGGTAGGCCTTGGTGCTTACCGCCAAAACCACCTTCATCCAAGTGGATTCTATCCACTGACAACATCGCAGAAGCCACTTGGCAAGGTACTGATCTTGGTTCCGGGTCGTTTGCTGCTGTTCGCCTTGGTACGTGGATTGGAGCTCCGGTGGCACTGAAGAAGCTGAAACAATTTGACCTCAAATCAGCCCAAGCACTGCGTGAAGAGGCGAATATTTGGTTCACATTGAGACACCCGCACATTGTCAGCTTCTATGGTGCATGCACGAAAGGTTACCCGCTTTTCGTGTCTGGAGGCAGGCTCGACCAGTGCCGAGGCAGCAATGCCTCCGATAATGATGGGAAAAGAAAAGTGGAAGGGAAAGTCACCGATGAACAGATATGGGGATATTTACACGACGCGGCGATCGGGTTACAAGGCCTTCATCTGCATGGTGTTGTCCATGCTGATCTCAAATGTGACAATATTCTGATTATTGCTGACGGTCGAGCGAAGCTGATTGATTTCGGGTTAAGCTGCGTCCGAACGTATGATGGAGGGGCGGCTCATGGTGCCTTACACTGGAAAGCTCCAGAATGTATTCAGGGCTCTGGCCCTACGTTTGAGTCGGATATCTACGGCTTGGGAATGTGCATCATTCAGGCATTTTCTGGCCATTGTCCGTGGGGACGAAGCCCAGATAACGCTGTCAGAGTTCTCTTGAGAAATGGGGGATTCCCCAAAAAGCCAGTTGCCTTGAATCAAGTGCAATGGGAGTCTGTAAGGAGAATGTGCTACCAAGACCCGCAAGCTCGCCTCAAACTTGACTTCGTGGTTCGTGTACTTGCTCGTTGTCAAGAGCTTCACTTTTGGAGAAGTAAGTGACATGAAGCTATGTAGAAGCTTCTTACACGGGTTTTCCTCCTCCAAGATCCCTGGTATCTGTTTAAAAGGACAAATTCGATTGGCGCAGGGTCAGAATAAAGGCCAAGCTTCTCGCTTCGCATTACCCTTTAATATCGTAATTTGGCAAGGATTTTTTCTTACTACATTTATTGAATTTGATAAGCTCTAATACACTATTGCCAACACATTCTTCTGTGTTTGCCTTGTTGCTGACGTCGTCT